TATACGAGGACTGAAAAGTGTTTCTGAAGATAATGTTTGGAGGTTTTCCAGGGGAGCTTTATCTCTTCTCTTGAATAGGCCCCCCTCAATCACAGGGATTTGTGAATACCGTATACTGACTTGCTAAGACTTCAAATCTAGGTTTTCAGGGTGTGTTTTGGATAAAATTGCTTTACGTTAGGGCAGGAGAAATAGTCGAGTATGTAAGGTACTTTCCTTGCACACAGTCAACCAAGGGTCGATCCCTGGTATCACATATGGATGCAGGCAGGTAGGTTAGGGAAGGCCCCTCCTCAAACCACCCCCCCCCCCCCATACACACACGGTGGCAATGAAATTTCTGGGAAGCAAAGTTCTAAGGCTGACCCTCCTTGTGGATACGGAAAGCAAGACCCGAGATTACACCTTCAGCCGCAGACCCTGAGGAGATTGGACCCCTCCCCATGAAGGAAATTCCTCCAATACTCTTGGACTTTAACTCCCTTAACTTTAGTGATTCAGCCCAGAAAAGTCTTCAAAACATTCCGGACCAAGACATCCCAAGAAGATACCCTATAAAAGCCACCTTGAACAGGGACTCTCTGTTCAAAGAATCTCCAAACAGAGCAGCTCGCTGCAGAGATTCTTCCGGAGTTTAAGCCAGGCCAACTTCACCAAGGTACCTCATGGAGCAGGTTCATGGCTCCACCTGCCACCCAAGAACCCCAGTGACCACCAACTTCCAGAACCCAATGAGAAGTGCAGGTGTGCAAGTTCAGTGACGGCAAACTTCAGGCCTCAAGGGATAGGGGATGGGTCGGTCCTTCTCACCTGCCCCCCCATGGGACCCTGAAGGTCATACCCACAAACTGCCTCCAGCTGCTATTTAAGCTCCTTATAGCCATTATCCAGAGACACACAAAAGAATCTGCAAACCAAGCAGCTTGCTGGAGAGATTTCTCCAGACCCTAATCATCTAAAACTTAGAATTCCAGGAGTGCAACATGTGACACCTTATGCTATTCATAACAAGCAATACAAAAGAGAGTATGGGCACTGGAGCAATAGCACAGTGGGTAGAGTGTTTGCCTTGCAAGCAGCCGACCCGGGTTCGATTCCCAGCATCCCATATGGTCCCCCAAGCACCGCCAGGACTAATTCATGAGTGCATAAACCAGGAGTAACCCCTGTGCATCGCTGGGTATGACCCAAAAAGCAAAAATAAATAAATAAATAAATAAATAAATAAAAAGAGAGTATGGGGGAGATTGTCTGCCAAAGAGGCAGGGGGAGGGGTGGGATGGGGGGGATACTGGGGACCTTGGTGGTGGAAGATGTGCACTGGTGGAGGGCTGGGTGTTCGATCATTATATGACTGAAACTCAAACATGAATATCACATGTCCTTCTCTCCTGGAAGGGAGCATAACATGACACTCGCCATAGCCATGCCACCAGACCCCACGCCAGGCTGTTTCACTCAGGGCACCCTAGAGGGGGTGGGTGAGAGCCCTTTCCACCCCAAGAGACCCATTCTTGGCACCCAAAAACCTCCAGAATCTACTGCCATCACACTCAAGGCTGCTCCCCACCCCTCGGGCCAAATGTCACACACAAGTGAACATCATAAGACACGTCCTACCCATGATCCACGAGTACCGCACCACATTTGATGGGGTTCAAATAGTTGGCAACCAATCATAGAGGGAAATATATATATATGTACACATTATATATTTACAGATATATATACGAAAGTTCACAAGGCTCAACCTTTAAAAACATGTTAGTGATATCTTATAGAAGGTCTTAATGGCCCCCACCAAAATAGAACAATCTTCATACTCTTTCCTCTATGGAAAACTCTTTCCTCTACTTTTCTGTAGAATTTTCAGTGGTTTTTCATAACAAATAATACAAAAGATATTATTTTAGTTCTGCTTTGGGACAGGGATTGGGGTTTGGGATGGAAATGTCCCAAATGTGGTGGGAAGGTGTAAGAGTGGGTGGGGTTGGTGTTTGAATATTAAATGTAATCAAATATTGTGAACTACCTTATACAAACAAACTGTCCTCTCATTGTTCATCGATTTGCTCAAGTGGGCTCAGTAATGTCTCCATCGTGAGACTTATTTGGCATATTGAATATGTCACGGGTAGCTTGCCAGGCTTTGCCGCGCGGGCGAGATACTCTCGGTAGCTTGCCGGGCTCTCCTAGAGGGGCAGAGGAATCGAACCTGGCTCGGCCAGGCTGGCTGCGTGCAAGGCAAATACCCTACTGCTGTGCTGTCTGTCTCCAGCCCTACCTTATAAAATAAAAAAAAATTAGAAAAAAACCCTTAAACCTGAAAGCTTTGTAACTGTATCTCACTGTATCACTGTCATCCTGTTCATCGATTTCCTCGAGCAGGCACCAGTAACATCTTCGTCCTAGCCCTGAGATTTTAGAAAGTGCCACATTTGAGGCTCTTTCAGTGTCAGGGGAATGAGACCCATCATTGTTACTGGTTTTTGGCATATTGAATACACCACACGAAGTTTGCCAGAATCTGCTGTACAGGCAGGATACTTTCGGTAGCCTGCCAGGTTCTCCAGTGTAAGAACTAGATAGTAAGATGTTGTGCGGCTGTGAATGCGGCTGTGGGCTTCTGGGAGCTGGGTTTTAGAGTCTCTGGGTCTTGGCTGTTGATGGGATTACACAGCACTGGGGGCAGTTGGTGGGTATAACGCCTACCTACTGGAAGATGGGGGATCTGGGTGGAGGAGGCCCAGTCCTGATCCCAGCAGGCTTGGAGATCTCAGCCCTGGGTCCCACATGCTTGGGTTCCTCTGTCGGTTCCTTCATGCATGAGGCTCGTCTGAACATGGAGAGTGGTCTCAGCATGGCTGTGGCTGGTTCTGGAGGTCTTCGGCTGCCGGGGCTCTGCTCGGGGTGGGGAGGGAAACTCAACCTCCCCCTTCCCCGCCCACCCCGTGAAGACAGCCAGGCACAGGGGCAGGAGACTCTGTATCTCATGGTGATTCAATAAAAAAAAAGATTTTTAAAAGCCACCTTCAACGAAGGAAATATGCGTACATGCTGCCTGAGCCCATGTGCTGCTTGAGCCCACATGGCCCGAGCACATGCGGTGCCTGAGCACATGTGTTGCCTGCATCTCCCCTTTTTGAGATGTGTACTTTTATGCTTTCATGTCTAATGCTGGGGTGTGTGTAGGGGCTCTCTCCACCCTTGGAGAAGCCCCGGGTTCTCTCTTGAGCACATTACTCTTCACTCTCTCCCTCTTTCTCTTCCTTCTTCCCTTTAAAACCTCCAAAGAAAATCTGTTTCACTTCACTGCTCGTCTACTGAAATTCTTTTCCGCAAGGTGAGACAAGAACCCAGAACCTTGGGCCCTGGGTGGCAGAGGCAGATGGGGAAAAAGTGACCGTCTTTCTCCTCCCTGCTTCAAATGAGCCACCCGTGGGGCCCACCACATCAATATGGTCCCCTGAGCCCACCAGGAGTGATTCCTGAATGCAGAGCCAGGAGTAACCCCTAAGCACCGCTGGGTGTGGCCTCCAAACAAAACAAAGCAAAGTTGCTTGAGTTTTGAACTTGGCTTGCTGTGATAAATTATTTCAGTGTTAAATATTACAACCTTTGATCAATATAAACATGCGCAGAGTAGTGCCAGACAGACTCCGTGCTATTGTATGCTTATCATTATGATTATACAGAAGACTGTCAGGTTACTGACCCCAGAGTGAGGACAATGGTATTTAAACTGGTTCCATATAAATTAAGAATTGAGTTTAAAATTTAAACTTAAAATTTAAATTTAATTAAAATTAAATTAAAATTTAAAACCAGCAAGCTCTTCTGTAAAGGGACAGCTGCTGGTATCTTGTCTTCTCCCTTGATAAGGCAAAATGTGCCTCAGGGGACCAGTCTCTGAGGCAATTCATTGAGCACTGTGGTGCCCTGCAGTCTGAAAATCACCCTTTCTGAAAATGTGTTTCCCAGGCCCTGAGAGATAGTACAGCAGATAAAGGCACTTGTCTTGAACACAGTCAACAGGGTTTAATCCCAAGCACCCCACACAGTCCCTCAAACATCATTAGCAGTGATCCCTGAGCTCAGAGCCAGGAGGAAGTCCCGAGCACATCCAGATGTGGCCCCAAACAAAAAATAACCCACCCCCCAAAAAAGTGCTTCTCTATTCTTTTTCTCTATAAAAACTGCTATTTGTAGCATATAGACAAGTTGGGTTTTTTTTTTTTTTTTTGCTTTTTGCTTTTTGGGTTACACCCGCCTGATGCACAGGCCTGGCTTTGCACTCAGGAATTACTCCTGGTGGTGCTCGGGGGACCATATGGAATGCTGGGAATCAAACCGTGGTTGGCCGCATGCAAGGCAAACGCCCTACCCACTGTACTACCGCTCTGCCACCCCCAACCTTTGCTAAACTATTGACAAAGACAATCCCATCTCTAAGGCAATTATTATTATTATAATTATTATTATTTTGCTTTTTTGGCCAACAAAACAGCCCCCTTCCGCGTCCCGTAAGTGCCTGCCTTCCCGCTGACTGCTGAGCAAGTCTGGGCGGTGATGGTCCCGGGTCCTAGAATTAATTAAACCTGCCCTGTGCACAACGCACTAGGAGCTGCCACTCCCTCCCCGCCCAGGAAGTCTAAAATTAGGTGCCTCTTTCTCCGCCTCCGCCGGGCCGGGCCGGTGGGCGGGGCCCGGACCATAGGGGGCGTTTCGGGGCGCGGCTTCGGGGCCGCTGTTCTGCACCCGAGTGCTGATCCGCCGGCAGGCGCCGGGGGCCGCGCGGGGCAGCCGGGTGGCGGGGACGCGCCGGCGATGCCCGCAGCCGCTCCCGCCGCTGCCCGGGCCGCGCGCATCCCCCGGGAGGCCGCGCTCTGAGGACCCTCCTGGGACCCCCACCCCACCCCACCCTGGGCGCCTGCTCGGAGCTCGGCGGCCGCTCGCGATGACCCGCGCGGGCTCCGGGGCTCGGGCGGCCCCGGGAGCTGATGCTGCTGATGCGGCTGATGCTGCTGATGCTGATGCTGGGCCTGTGGCTGCCCAGCGTCCGCGCGGCCGCCCCGCCGCCGTCCGAGCCGCGCGCCGCGCTGCCGGGCGTGGAGCAGCTGCTCGAGGAGTTCGGGCGGCAGCTGCGGCAGGACGAGCCGGAGCCGGAGCCGGAGTCGCAGCCGGAACCGGAGCCGCAGGGAGGCTGCCCCGGCCCGCGCGGCGAAAGCCGCGGCGGCTACAGCGTCCTGCACGACACCATCATCCGCACCCGGGACTCCCTGGCGGCCGGCGCCAGCTTCCTGCGCGCGCCGGCGGCCGTGCGCGACGGGGCCGAGCCGCGCTGCTCCGTGGCCGTGGTGGAGCGGCCCGCGCGGCCCCTGCCCGCCGCGGGCGCGCTCGGCTGCTACCTGTTCAACTGCACCGCGCGCGGCCGCAGCGTCTGCAGGTTCGCCGCGCACCGCGGCTACAGCAGCTACAGCCTCCGCCGGGCCCCGCGCGGCCGACCCGCGCCCCCGCCGGGTAAGCGCGCCCCGCTCCCCACCCTCATCCCCACCTCGGAGCGCACCCTCGGGCCCCTCGGCGTCTAGGAGCCGCGCCCGGCTAGGCCCCGAGACCGCGGGGCCTTCCTGGGCCACGGGAGCTGGAAAGTAAAGTAAAGTAAGTAAAGGCCCTCGAGCGGGCCCAGTAACGTCTCCATTGGAGACTTTGTTGTTACTGTGTCTGGCATATCGAATACTCTCGGTAGCTTGCCGGGCTCTCCGAGAGGGGCGGAGGAATCGAACTCGGGTCGGCCATGTTGGCCGCTTGTAAGGCAAACGCCCTACCCGCTGTGCTATCGCTCCAGCCCTGGAAAAGCAGGGGAAAAATAAATAAAGAAAGAAATAACCGGAAAAGTCCCCTCCCCCACCCCGCTTCTCGGTTATCCTTAGTTTCCGCCTTTGGAAAGAAAGGCTCGGAAATTAGACAGGAAATTCGGCTTAAGGAGGATTTTCCCGGGGAAGGATGACTGGAGCGATAGCACAGCGGGGAGGGCGTTTGCCTTGCCACGGTAGACCCGGGTTCGATTCCCAGCATCCCATATGGTCCCCTGAGCCACCGCCAGGAGTAATTTCTGAATGTAGAGCCAGGAGTAACCAGGTGTGACCCAAAAAGCAAATAAATAAATAAATAAATAAAAATAAAGGAGCGTTTCCGGGGCTGCAGCGATAGCGATAGCACAGCGGGGAGGGCGTTTGCCTCGCACGTGGCCGACCCGGGTTCGATTCCCAGCATCCTATAGGATGCTCCCGAGCACCGCCAGGAGTCATTCCTGAGTGCAAAGCCAGAAGAAACCCCTGTGCATCGCCGGGTGTGACCCAAAAAGAAAAAAAAAAGGGGGGGATGGTTTCCGGGAAGTGCGGAAAGGGTGGGCAGGAGCGGTCCCCCGCGCAAGCCTGCTGCTTCTGGAGGTTTTCTAGGCTTGGGGTGATCGAATAGGCCCGCAGGCATAGCTCAGAGGGCCGGGGTGCAGAGTTTGCAGGCGGGAGCACTCTGGTCTCCTGAGCACCGCCGGTAGGAGAGACACCTCTCCCCTCCACCGCACCCCCACCCCCAGCACCTCGCAGGAAATAACACCCAGAACTTACCTCCTGGTGTGCCCTGTCTCCTTTCATTTCATTTCATTTCATCATCCTGTTATTCGTTGATTGCCTCGAGCAGGCCCTGTCTCCTTTAAAAAAAAAAATCTACTCTGGGAAACTAGATTTAAATACGGGGAAAGCCTAGAGAAAAGAAGCAGCTTTGTTTTGGTTTCAGAGGTTTGTTTGAAAGCGTGGTCCTTGGGCCCAGTGATTGAGGAGGTCAAGTCTGGTTACAGCTTGCTTGTCTCACGCCTTGGCTCTTGTGACATCTGTTTTATTCATCGGAGGAAATTGCGGGGAGAGGTCAAGGGGAGTGGCTATGTTTTAATTAGATCTGTGTCCCATTCACTACCAGTTCCCTTTTATAAAAATGAGAAATCAGAGCGCGATTTCAATGAAAAATGAAGTTTTACAAGTATCTCTTGGGGAAAAAAAGATGTGTGAGAAGACACAAAATGAAGCTTTAGAAGTATCTTTTTAAAAAAAATAAAAGACGAGTTAGAATACAGGACTTGATTTAAAAGTATCTCTCTTTCATTAAATGATGCTTTTTCTATGGCCAGAACCATAGTACTACAGGTGGGCGTTTTCCTTGCACTCTGCTAACCTGGGTTTGATCTCCCGCATCCGATATAGTTCCCAGAATACAGGAGTAATTCAACAGTGCAGAGCCCGAGTAACCACTGGGCACCACCAGGTGTGGGGCAAAAACAGAAACAAAAAGGTGCTTTCCCATTTAATGCTTTCACTTCACTTTCTTCAAAAGTACTCAAAACAGAAGTGGAGCAGTTGAGATTAAGGTCACTTGGGTCCCCTTCTTGCTGACTCACTGTCTGTTATACTGCAAGATTTTTGTTTTTGTTTGTTTTTTTTTGTTTTGGGGTCATACCTGGGGATGCTCAGGGATTGCTCCTGGGGATGCTCAGGGATTGCTTCTGACTCTGCACTCAGGAATTACTCCTGGCGGTGCTTGGGGGACCATATGGGATGCTGGGAATCGAACCTGGGTTGGCTGCGTGCAAGGCAAATGCATTTACCCAAATGACTCTCAGAATGTGGATGAACAACACAACTAAAAAGAGCAACCCTGATGGACATGTGTGCAAGCACCACAACTCAAGGAGGTACCCGATGTGGAACCCCCAGCAAGCACGCCTGTGGGTAATTCCTAGCCATGGCAAGAACCATGACTGAAAGGGGGGAAATAACAGTTTTGTTTTGGGGTTTTGTTTTTGGTGTGTGTGTGTGTGTGTGTGTGTTGTTGTTGTTGTTTGGTTTGGTTTGTGCAGCAACACCCGGTGATCCTCAGGTGTTTCTCATGGTTCTGTGCTCAGGTATTATTCCTGGCAGTGTTCTGTGGCCATATGGGATGCCGGAGATCGAACCCGGGACAGATGCATGCATTTGCCTTACCTGCTGTACAATCACTCTGGCCCGAGAATAAAAATAATAGTAATTTGGAGGCTGAGCTGGGCCAAACCTGGTGGTTCTCAGAGGCTAGCTCCGACTATGCTCAGGAGTGACCCCTGGTGGTGCTCAGGGAACTATGCAGTATCAGGAATTGAACCAGGTTTGATGGCGTACAAGGCAAGTTAGTCCCATAAGTAACTTTTAAGAGACAGTGGGGGGGGGGGGAGGGAGAGAGAGAGAGAGAGAGAGAGAGAGAGAGAGAGAGGAATGTGCTGTAACAAAGCTATTAGAGTCAGAAGTTCTGTTGCAGTGAATAAAAAGATCAGGAAGAAATAAGTGAGCAATCAGGTGAATTGGAACAGCATAGAATTCCGGATTTCCAGTGGAACTGGCCTTCATGTTTGTGGTCAGTGCTTCCGGAGTTTGGTGCTGAGTGCTGAGTGCTGCCATTCTGTCTATCTTAGTGTCAACTCACTCTGTCCCCCAGCACCCAGAGTGCTAGCTCTGAATAATCCCAAGTATACTAGACGTCTGGGTGAGAGGAAGTGTTCTGCCCAAGGCCTCACAGCACATGCCTGTGGAGCTGTGTCAGTGTGCGGGACGGGGCGGGGTATAAAATTATGTGCGTGGTGGAGCTGTGTTAGAGGGTTGCGGAATATGGGACTGTGTATGGAGCTGTGGTCGGTGAATTGTGGAGCTGTGTTTTGTGAGCTGCGGGACAGCAGCTGTCCAGTTAGGGAGAGCTGAGAGGGAGAAGTTTGGGTGCTTTCTCCAGCAGCCCCGGGGCCCCCAGAAGCAGAGAAGGGGACAGTTGGTTGTCCCAGGATGAGACTTTCTAGGGTAGAGGAGGGTGCAGGATGGAAGGGAGGGTGCTGGAGAAAGTGAGTGGAAATGAAAGTCCTGCAGTGCCCGGGGGTTGAGAAGTGGCTTCCCCTGTAGGCAACCCCAGTTCAGTACCTGGCCTCTGATGTTCCCATTTCCCAGCCTCTCATGCAGCATCTGTGTCCACCCAAGGACTCCAGAGACTCTTCCTTATTCGCTAAGGCAGGATCTCACCAGCATGTGTTGTAAGTCACATTGGTCATTGGTTAACTGTTATTTTCTAAAATGTTTTCTTGAGGTGGAGGTGGGTCTGTTGGCACTTCCGTGATAGGCCTGGTGTGGTAACATTATACACCCCCCCCCCCCAGACACATGAGCCTTGAAAATCAGCAGCACTGGATTACTCAGTTGAAAAGTAAAATTAGTCACCTTGATATTATTCATCAATGTTGTACCTCTATTTTGCCCATACAGACCGTACTGCATGCTGCATTTGCAAAAGAAGTCAGTGTTTCCATAGTACTAACGATAAGGTTGTCACAGTTTCTGATGAAAATTCAAAATGTCTATTTTTTGTTCATTAACGAGTCAATGTGTGTAGTGAACACTTCGTTGAAAATGTACTTTAGTGGGCAGAGCAGTAGGACAGTGGGAAGGGTGTTTGCCATGTACACAACCAATCCAAGTTTGGATCCCAGCGTTCTATATAGTTCCCCAAGCACCACCAGGATTGATCCCTGAATGCAGAGCCAGGGGTAAGCTAGTTGTGGTCCAACAGAGAGAAATGAAGGAGGGAAGGGAAGGGAAGGGAAGGGAAGGGAAGGGAAGAAGGAAGGAAGGAAGGAAGGAAGGAAGGAAGGAATTTTGTAATATATCCATTCAAATCATCTGTACATAAAGTAATACATCAGCTTCATTACCGGACTCATAATTTATTTATCTTAAAAGATTATGTCTAGCTGAATGCAAATATTTTCAAAGGCTATTTACATCAGAATTACTGCCAATAAAATGTAAGTACTTTGATTCCTCTATTTTTATCCCTGGAAAAAATGAAAACAAGTATCTCAGTGTTCATTTTAGGCTGAGATACCCCGCTAGTGTATTTGCCATGTTTGTCGCAGTGACTTTATCTCATGACTTTCTTTGAGATAAATGAAATCCAGATGTAACTATCAATCATGGAAATATCCACCAGACATCTTCTTATACTTTCACTTAAAACTCCTGTACCAGAGAGTCATTAATTTGCTTTTAAGAAGGGGGGCGGGGAGAGTACAGCAGCCTTTACCCACACAGCTCTGAGGCGGTTGCCAGTTAATCTCCTTTCACGCCCTTTGGTCACTGAGGTGACAGAGGATTGCGATGTTAACTTAGCAACCTCAGTGAAAATACAGTCAAATCAGAGCTTGATTTTTTCCCATTTTTATTGCGATGATTTACAATACTGAATATGCTATTTCATACATACCTCATTCCAGTACCACACCCACCACCAGAGATGCCAACATCAGCTCTGCGTGGTATTCAGAAATAGTCTACTTTGCTGGGTAAGGAGGTAGCCCCACATAAGGTCGATGGTCCACGAGCCTCTTTCAATTCTGAAATTATGTCTCGGCCATCTGTGAAGGTTTTTTCCAAGAACAGCACATGGATTGGTTCCTTTAAAAGACTCTCCAAGGTCTAGGGAGGTTGCTCAGGGGTCAGGAGCACCAAAGAACTGGGATATGGAAAAC